CGGGGTGCAGGGAAGCACAGGCACCCCTCTGTGGTGCTGAACCAAAGGCAAAGCAGCTGCAGGAGGAACGAGTTCCCAAGCAGCACTGCTGGCCTCTCGTGCCCATTGCACAGCCACCCGTGTCACCAGCAAAGAGCCATCAGCCACCAGCAGCAGGGGCAGCAAATGCAGCCTGTGCGGATGGGCACCGGCAAGCCGCCCTCTCAGTGCCACTTCTCGGAGCAATCTCTCTTTACAGACTTGCTGTGCCACTCTGGGATTTTATTGAGCCATCCAAGTGTCTGTAACGAGATATTAAAATAGTAGTCGTGTCCCCTGATTTATTTTTTAAATTCTTGTGCCTACACACGTGTAAACTACACCAAGTCACCTGGCTGCAGACTGAGGATAAATAATGCTCCACAATATATTTAGAGAACGCAAACCACAGAAAAATATGTAGAAGAGGAAAATGCATTTGCTGGGTGGTAAGTTATTGGACCTTTAGAGGAAGGGAAGGGAGAGGCTTGGGGAGGTGGTGGGGGTGGAGGGGGGAGGTGTTTGCTCCTGCCTTCCCTCCTGCAAATAAATCACCAGCCTTGCAGTGCTTCTGCCTGAATAAAATATGACAGGTCTCTGTGGCAGGGCCAGCACGCAGCTCTGGAACAAGTCACGGCACTCGCCGTGCATACTGACTGCAAATTGGGTGGGTTATCAGGCGCCTCCATAAAAAACCCACCCTCTTTCCCCAGCTGATTATGAACCTCATGCATAGCAAATGACAGAGCAATAACGCTCGCCTTGCCTGCCGCCGAGGTGAAAAAAAAATAAAATAAAATATTTTCAGACTGACAGGCTAATGGACACTTTTCCAAAAAAAAATAGAAAGAAGTAGTAAATGGGCCTGTGCTGATGCAGGGCAGCGGGCCCGGTCAGGGATCAAGACACACAGCACCATATCGGATAACATATAATTGGCAGGTCACATCCAAATGAGTGTAGTCATGCATCATCCGGAAGGCTTTTGCTGGTTATAAAGACACTTGTAAACAATTCAGCCGCTGAACATGGCAATAATATGTTGATCCGGTATGTAATGAGGTGTTCCTGGAATCAATAAACTAGTCATGAAGAGCAGGGAGCAAGGTCAGCGCCTGCCTTTTTGATGACCTTTCCTGGCTGGTAAGGACATCATATACTCTGAAGAGGACTTTTCTCATATTGCAGAAGGCGCTGAGTGTCAGAACTTCCATTCGCAGCAAGCAAATGAACAGCCGGGCTCTGCATGCTAATGAAGTCCAGGCTATTTTCCACCTTTTCATCTGCACATTATGCTCTTGACTTTGGAGAAGGTGGGAATTAGGTTGGACCCTCGTGTCAGACTGCCTGATGGCTCGGCTCCGGAAAACTGGTAATTGAAGCTGATGACTGATGCGGAGGAGGCCTGAATTTGGAAATAAACAGTTTCAAGCACTGCATGTCATTTCTAGAGAGACTGCTGAGTGAATGGAAATGAGCTCTGTTTCTTCAATCTAATGCAGTTTCTCAGCAG